TGCCACGGTTTCTTTACTGGGTGATTGACACGTGTGTCCTCACGTCTCAGTCACAGTCATTTCCTGGGCGATAAATGTGTTTGTCATCGCAATCTGGGCCCGATCAGCAGATCAACATGATTACAGCGGGTCTTCAAGGTTGTACAGAAGCAGGCTAAGCTTACTACTGCAGCAATGGGTTTTTGCAAAGAAAATGGTAAATGGAGGTATTGCAGGATTATGGTTTGGAAAGACATTTTCCAATTTTCTTTAAGTTAATTTATGGTTTTATGGATTTCAAAGAGGATTAGTCTGGTTGAGTTTGAAAAGTCAAGTTGATGTTTTTTTTTTTAAGAAGTAAGATTACTGTTTGGATAAAAAAACAAACAAAAACAATCTCCTAAGATCAGCACATATCTCTTTTCTTGTTTTCCCGCAGGTTTTCTCCTGAGGCTTTCTATATAGTACATGTCTGGGGTTTGACACATAATGTTGATTTTAGGTTCGAAAAACCATTTCTCATGTTTGGCTCTATGTTTAAAAAAAAATGTGTTCATAACCCATGTCTAGTAAACTGGTTTTGGTCCACCTGCCATTCTTCTCAATGGTCAAGTACTTCTGAGCTCATTAAGCCAGTACTCTAAAGGTATGCTTACAAGAGCAGAAGTTTTGAGAATAAAGAGCTGATCAGAATAATTTTGAAGAATAATAATAGTGCATCATGTAAACACACCAAACTGTAATATTGTGATTGGATTCAGCTGAACCGAAATGAGTCTGATTTGCAAAAATAGGGATTGTGGCATCTGCACACCTTTTCCAGTAATTTCATTTGGAAAGAGGAAAACTGACCCTACCATACATGTGTGTGGAGGAAGGTATTCATTTTTTTTCTGCTCTCTCATTCTGTTGTTTAAAGAAAAGGAAAAGCATGGTTGCTAAGCCTTTAGCTTAATTATGGGAAGCAATAACACCTCAGTCGCTCTATGAACCTGGTATACGTCCATTCTAGGAATTAGGACAGCCAGAATCAACATACTTTCATGCATATTGTTTTTTTTCCACACAGGCAGAAGTAACAGACTTTATCTGCAGTTGTTTTAGCCTAATATGAAAACTCAGATGGCTTTACCAATAAATCATGGTTAAAATTAAAAAAACAGTCATAAATAGATTATTTGATTTAATGGCCGCATCTGTTTTTTTTTTTCTCAAGCTAAACACATTTCAATTCGATTAAGAAACCTTTTACATGTAAATACTGAGTAAGATAAGCAGACCCACAGCATCATGGATCCCCTACTGTATGTTACAGAAAACAAAATATGCTTTAAAGAGCACATGTTTGTATTTAAGTTGAAACAAAGTTGAGAAAAGTTTATGTTTGTAAATGGAAAAGAGAAAAGTGTATTTTTTTCCAGACTGAAAATGTACTGAAAATGTTCTGAAGTACAGGACTTGGAATTGAGAACTCTTATCACTGAGGGAATTGAAATCTTTTATAAATGACAGAGTAAAAAGCCTGTTTGGGTGATTTGACAGAACTTTGTAAACTTAAAATTTTACTGTGTGTGATATATGCTTGTGTATTTTTATAATTTTTTTGTAGCCATATAACCACTAAGTTGCTGTCTTGGCAAGGTCACTGGCCACAATTCTCAATTAGTTTTTTTTCACGTGGCTATATAAAGGAATCTATTACTCCCACACATCTGGTTGGTATATAGAATACTAATGGCTATTGCTGAACACGATAATCCTTAAGGTGATACACATTTCATCAATATTCTTAAAGAGAGCTGTAAATATTTTCCACCTCTTTACCCCTCTTGCTCGCTGTGTGTTGCAATGGCATTAAAATGGATTTTTGTCCAGTGCAGTAGCCGGAGGGAAAAAATGTATTTCTGTTACGGCATATTACAGCCCAGGAAACAGAAAGTCATGGATTAGTCCCAGATTCCATTGACAATTAAAGGTAAATAACAAAAGGAAAGTTTCGGCTAATGGGTGGATGGAATTTAATTGATCTCAAATAGTAAGGTTAAAAATCTTGGTGTTATTTTTAATCAGGACCCGTTATTAAAATCCCATCAAAGAGGTTTCTAGAATTTCCTTCTTTCATCTCAGGAATATTGCAAAAATTAGGAATACCCTGTCCAGGGGTGATGCTGAGAAACTAGTCCATGCATTTGTTACTTCAGAGATAGAATATTATAAGTGTTTACTATCAAGAATTCCACAAACTTTAGTTAAAAGATTTCAGCTGATCCAAAATGCTGCAGACAGAGCTTTGATAAGTATTAAGAAGAGAGATCATATCTTTCCTATACTAGCTTCTCTTCATTGTCTTCCTGTTAAATCCAGAATAAAATCCTCCCTCTCACATTTAATAAATGGCCAAGATCTATCTTATAACAGAGAAATGATTGCGTCTTATCTTCCTAACAGAGCACTTTACTCTCAATCTGCAGGTTTACTAGTGGTTCCCAGAATTTCTAAAAGTAGAATGGGAGGCAGATGTTTTAGTTGTCAGGCTCCTCTCCTGTGGAACCAACTACCAGTTTTAGTCTGTGAGACAGACACCCTTTCTACTTTTAAGGCAAGGCTTGAAACTTTCCTTTTAGATTATAGTTAGATGGGCTAATGTTATCCTGAGCTATCTCTATAGTTATGCTGCTATAGGTTTAGACTGTTAGTGGACATAGGGACCACTTTTTATCATTCCACTTCATTCTTTCTCTATTCTTTCATTCTGCATTGTTTGTTGTTCAATATAGTAGCTTCATCTGGTCTGTTCCTGTTTGACCGTGACTTCATCGTGGAGATGTGTTGCTGCCATCAACACCTGTTTTATAGATGTTTGTGCTTGGCCTGTTTTTCAGCGTAGTACTGTTTCTCTGACTATGACTAACTGTATGTGCTCTGTTTCATCACCTGACATGGGAGCTGACTCAGTGCCCATCTACCTGGCTGTGTGTTTCCTGGACAGGGCTGCCTGTGAAGCTGATTGACAGTTACCTTTTATATCTGTGCTCCTTTCAGTATGTCTGCCTCTGTCTCCTTGAACCCCAGTCGGCCTCGGAAGATACCATTCACACTGAGTCTGGTGATGCTGGAGATTTCCTCCAGTTTTCCTCTCCACTATTGCTACAAGCCTGCTTGGTGTGAGGGATTACTGTTGAGTCAGAGTCGGTGCAATCAGCTGGTTTTCCATAGACAGAGGACTTTGAACCAATCTGACTGTTTGATCTTGCTGAATTGTCTCTGTGCCCTGAAATGACACTGAAATTAAACTGAATTGAATCTATTTTCACCCCCGCTCTGAATTGCTTCAGCGCAATGCAGTAAAAGCACTAACCACTTTTTTTCTCTCCCTTCAGTTCTGTTATGAAACCATAAGTCAAGCTCTAATTATCACTGACAACTCTCTCTTCTGCTTTTGGATCTCAAACATCGACAGCCTAGTTGTGTGTTTTTTTAATTGAAGACTTTTCTGAAGCCCTCCTTGTCAGTTTGTTGACATCAAAGAGCTTCTTTCAGTTGAGAGTCCAGTTTGCTACTCAGTCTCCTTCAGTGAGGAGTACTTTTTGGAATTATAGACACATTTTCATGTCTAAAAACTTCACTTGGATTGCAGTTATCAACAGAAATGGACAGCATCGGTTTGGAGAAAAAAAAATCTGAGGCAGAATTTGTTACATTTTATCACAAAACCTAGATGCATCGCACATCTGGTCTGCTGTTTGCATCATATGAAGTTTAAGCTAAAGTTTTATTTTCTTTCGCTTCGAAGAGATTTGAACTAAAACAAGTCAAAATTTAGCAGGTACTACATAAATACTTTTTAAAATGTTTAAGAAGAATTCTTTTCTCATACTCTGAGATTTCCCTACTTTACTCACTTGACAGAGTCTTGGAGTGTGGAGGCACTTTCCTTTTTATTGTAAATTAAAGAGTTCTGAAAAGGATTTACAAAAGTGGGTCTCCCTTTGAATTTGCATTGTGGAATGAAAGTGCTTCGTTTTCGCTCAGTTGCCCTTGCATTCTCTTTTCTTCGACTGCACTTCTTTGCTTCTCACTCCAAGATCCGTACATTATTTTTTTCCGCCCCATTCCAGCAACTTCATTCTTCTCCCTGTATAATAGTGGATTCTCCATGGTGGATTTGAGTGGGGCTATTTTTGGGTTCTGCACTGGCTCCGGCATGCGCCGCCGTAATCCAATTGTGATAGTGTTAATTTTTAAAGCTTTATTATTGAAATTGCTGAGACCTAATTTTCTGATCCTGTCACTGTTGACGGCCACCATAATCATCCAATTCAAATTATTCCAGACCATTAAGTCACAACTAGGGATTGGTCATGGCTGCTGATGCGGGAGGGGAGGAAGAGCTATGTGCGAGTCTTTGGGTGCATTCCTGCTTGTTGTCATGCTGGCAATCTTTTTGTTTGATTTAAACAAGTCTCCAAGATTTTCTTTTTCTCTCTTTTTACTGTGCACACTGCTGTGAATGACACATGGGTTGCATTCCGAAAGGCATTTGATTGGTCCCATAAAGCTTCTTGTTCTGTCTGCTTGATTTTTTTTCTGTTTAGGTTGGGGCTCAGTTCTTTTCTGTGCTTTCAGTGTGTCTTAACTGAAAAGTGAAAAAAACTACTACCTTGAATTGTGTTGTCGCTGCAGCAGCTGCATGCGTGCAGGTTGTGATGTGGTTATTGTGTTTCAAACAGATTATCTTCTCTTTGTGACTACTCTGTGAATAGAAACATCGCCCACACACACCATCAGGCAGTGCCACATGTGTGGACAATAACAGCCACACTGACAAACACAACACTTTTTGACTACTTGGTTGCCAGGAAACTTAGCCCGAGCCTTTAAGGGTGAGAGATAATAAAGAATTGTGTGTGCCCTGCCTCTGTCTGGGCAAGTTTGTTAACTGCCAGTGGGTGTCTGCATGCTGCAGGTGTTGATTTCCATGTGGCCATTGCTGTCTGTCATAAATCTGGGTGAAGACACAGAGCGAGTGCTGGATTCAGCAGATTTTACCCACGGACAAGGTCGAGATGAATCATCCAAAGGTTTGTTTGAGACAGCACAAATCTCTGTTTTATATCCTGGTAGAACTAAGATTTTGAATGATGAAGAGGGCCATATTTGTGTGCTCCAATTGTTTTTTTGTTTTTGTTTTTAAACAAGGGTGACTGAAATTTTTATAATTGAGCAAGAACTACAAAAGATCCATAATCTGCCAGACCTCTTATGACAAGAAAGCGTATTAAAAGAATAATTTGGTGCAAAAGTTTAAATTGAAGACTTACCTCAATGAGATGTGAACATTCCTTAACCAAAGTACATCTTGATTTTTTTTCATTGCCATCGACACGACTGTGGCATCATCCAGTTTGAATATATGGTAAGAGTGGAGCCACTCTGTTTGATTTCTTTGCACAAACTGGCTTGAAAATGTGAAAGTGTGTCTAACACACGTTTAAGCAATCTGGATGTTTATTTAAGGTGAACTTGATGAATTTGGAAGATTTCCTTTGTCTTCATTGTTTCCCTTGCTTTCTTTTCATGGTTCTCTAAAGCCTGTGTTTCATTAAGTTTCCCTTGATTAACCTCAGTCTCAGCAGTATTAACAGGACTCTAAAGCTGTCACCTTTCAGCCTAATTTCTGTGAAAGCTTCTAAAATGCAACTAGAAACTCTTCTTTAGCCTTACTACATACAGTAGATGTACTGGTGTTTGTCAAGATTTAAAGTTTCTACTTTACTGCCTGAAAATTTTCCTTTCATCTTAGTAAGTTTTAGTCAGATGGTTGAAATTCTGACCGAGTTAGATATTCAAAGACAGCAATAATCCTTAAAGTGCAGCTTTCTCTATGCTTACCTGATTGAAATATTATGGATTATGCGAAAAAATCAGTTAATGAAAGTGATCTCTGGTATTTTGATTACAGCAGTTTGTACCCAGAAGCTTGTTTATGTCCACAAAGAAAAAAAAAAAAGTGGTTGCGATGCAGCTTGCTAAGTGGATTCACCCTCAGAGCAAATTAGTCCTTGCTTAGACGGATCAAATAACGGAAATGTTAAATGCTTTCAAGAAAAACAACTTGAAAGATGGATAGATCACTTAGTGTCAGACACTTTTGTAGAGAGATAATCAATGTTTTCCTCTTCACATCCAAGTGCCTGTAATGATTCCACTGATTAGTGTTTTTTATGTGATCTCACTGACAGAAAACAAAGAAAATTTTGCAATCTTTTCTCCATCACTCCAACACCAGCTTAGATGAATCATCAGCTGAAATGTTTCATCTGAGAAGAGCTGCCCCCATGTAATTGAATCCAGACTGATAACCAGTAGCTGGCTCCAAAACAAGTCAGGGTGCACTTGATTAAAAGCCATCATGATTACGAACAAAAGAGGAGTAAAGATTATCACCAGATTATCACCATTTTTTTTTGCATTTATAGCAGCTGCAGAGGCACATCTGTTGCTTCCTGCTGTTAACAGAGATGGGAAAAATGGTGGCTTAAGCATCCAATCAGAATCACACCACAGAGTAATGACTTTAACCAAGCACTGTTGTGTTGTTCTTTTGCTTTTGTTTTACAGCCTGTCTTTAGAATCTCAGATCAGTTTAGAATAGCATAAACTAGTATATTCTTTATTGTCCCACCATGGGGTAATTTAGTTTAAAAGCACATTCAAGAAGATTTGCCACATAAACATTTGCATCAGAAGAAATTGTTGTCTGTTGCCCTTTTAAACCTCAGGGGAAGCTTCATTTGGTGCTACAGCTGTGTCCTTTAGCCACAGAGAAAATGAAAACCATTTCTTGTTTTTTTTTTTTTTTTATTAATTTTTAATCTTACTATAAAAAAATAACAACAAATTAAATCTCTGTTATTTTATTTCTGTGAAGTTCTCTATAAATAAATTGCTACCCCAGGGTACCGCAAACAGACAATACGAGACAGACTTGGCAGAAAACCATTATGCATCAACATATTTCTTTATTAATGTAATTATTTCTTAGCTCTTCCTAAGTAATTATTATGTATTTAATTACCCTTAAAGGTCAGTTTTAGCAATGAAAGTCTCCTAAAAAATGTGCATACCATATTCATACATTTTTTTTTACCTGTTTCATTAAAGCAAAATTAAATCCACATATTTATTTGCTGGCCTTTCTGTGAAGATTTTAATTACAATCTAACCTAGAAAAAAAAAAATTAAAATAAAACAGGGAAAAAATAGCAAGGACTATGTGTATATAAATATATATACATCCATTTTCTAACAGGCTTATCCCAAGTGGGGTCACAAGGGGTGCTGGTGCCTATTTCCAGCTTTCTACGGGCGAGAGGCAGGGTACACCCTGGACAGGTCATGTCCATCGCAGTGGAACACAGAGACAAACAACCATTCACACACACACTCACCTAAGGGGACTTTACAGAAGCCAATTAACCTAACAGTCATGTTTTTGGACTGTGGGAGGAGACCAGAGTACCCAGAGAGAACCCACGCATGCTCAGGGAGAACATGCAAACTCCATGCAGAAAGACCGGGGATCGGGAATCGAACCATTAATCTTCTTGCTGCAAGGCAGCAGCGCTACCCACTGTTCCACTGAGCAGGCCATAAACATTTAAAAAAAAAATACATTCAAGGGACCCAGGGGAAGTGAAAGCTAAAAGCAAATTGCACATTCTCACATTTCTTATCTGCTATTACATGTACTTCTAAATATAGTGCAGACGACGCACCGAACAAATCCTACCTTTCATTCACAGCATTAGTCTGCTTTTTGACTATGTTATGTCCTTCCTTTTGGTGTTAGCTGACACAATCAGAGGCTTGACTGGTCTTGACAACCCACTGTGCCCTCAAACCATTTCTGAGGCCTGATTCAGAGACCTTTTCATCCGCCTCCAGAAGTCATCTACCTGGGTGAGAAAGAAAGACCTTTGCATGCTGTTCAACACAGACCCGTATGGATTAAGTAAAAAGACCCGACAAAAAAAAAAAAAAAAAGCCAACTGCTGTGATCCTGCTGTACGTCCATTATGACATGACAACCTGCTGTGAAATAGATTTTGAAGGTTACTAAGGGATTACTCAAGCTGGGGACATCTTGTTTCCGTTGTGTAACACAGAAATGTTGGTATGTATTATTAGACAGAGCTTGATGCACAAATACTATAGAGGTGTCTATGTCTCTGACCTTGCCTGCTATGTTTGGGGTGATTGATTGGCAAGTCTGAGCTGTAACCATGGCAACGAAGACAGAGGTGGCACAGCTTGAAGACAGGATGAACGTTCAGGATTATAGAAAATTACAGAGCCTTTTCCTTGTAAGTTTGATTTAGTGTCTCAGTTTATTAAATGTGCCGATTTAGACAAGGTTTCACAAGTCAAGATAACAAATGTAATACATTAAATGGTGCTGTTTATCTTGCATGCAGGACTCCTGTAGCGAATCCCGCTCCTTGTCCAGAAATGAGTTCATCGATCTTGCCTGGATGGCAGTCGGCCGTGGATCCAGGGAAGAATATGGTCTTCTGTTTGACAGTGCGGTTGCCTCTCAGGAGCCTCGAAAGCTCCTGGAAAGTGATGGTGTGAAGGAATGTGGGTGTGTCAGCTGGAGAGGGTTGAGCTCCTTTCTGCTCCTGAAGCTTTCTGATAAACTACACAACAGCAGAGCCATTTGTGCTCCTTGCTGGAAGCCGACGTTAACTCTGACTTGTCCTCATCGGGGACCTGTTCAGAAGGTAAAAGATTTCTAAGTTCACAGAAACTTATTAGAAGTTGAGTTTGTTACAAACCTAAACATACGGCTCATTTTGAACTTACGGCCCTGCGTGTTGTGAAAAAACACACATTCATCAAGTTTAGAATTTTAAACTCTGCTGACTGGGGGGAAATCCACATTATTAAACATTGTGCCGGGAAACGTTCACCAGTATTAGGGTCTTACTCATCAAAATGGCACACCTCTTTTGAGATAAATGGCTCTGGACTGCTCTTACATCTATCAATTAATATGCAAATGGAGAGCTAGTATAAAGTGCCTACTGCTGTGGATAAAGTGAAAGCTCACCGCTTTAATCTTTCAATCCGCAGGATGTCAAAATGTCAAAATGTTGTGTCAGTTGTTTTCCAAATGCCTGGAAGGTTTAGACCCTTTAAAGAGGAAGATTTTTTCCCTGAGACAATGTGTCTGTCTATGAGCTTTTTAAATTGATGCAGACGCAGAAGTATTGAAAACGTTTTTAAACATACTGTAATAAAACCTAGAGGCACAATACAACATCATTTGTTCTGTGCTTTTCTGATGAAAATTGCACAAGGCTTTAGCAAAAACGATTCCAGATTGATTTTAAAATCAATAAAGAATCCCAAAGCGAGGTAAACTCAGGGGGAATGTTTTTTTTTTCTGCCCTTATGGTCCCAGTAATGATTGTAGTTGCAGCATTTGCTGCTGATAATAGAAGAGACCTCACTAATGCAAGGTCAGAGCATGAAACTGTGTGAATAAGACTTTTAAGTAGACAGTTTAAAGAAATGTTGTTATTTTTGAGATTTCTGTAAGATGGAAGAGACGAGAACATGTTTGACTTGAGCATATAATGGAGTGTGCCCTTTATTACTACTAGAATGATTTTGCATAATAGGTTGTTAAAAGTATTAAGCAAACAGACTAAAATAACTGATTTTGTGTTTAAAAAGAATAACTTTTGACTAATTCTATTCAAATGCAAAGAAAGATTTGAATATCTGTATATTAAGCTCAGAAATAGATCCTAACTGAAATCAGTAAGTATTATTTTAGAAATCATGTAAGCATGATCTACCATTTCCCTATAATATATTGAAAATATTTTAGAAATTAATAAATCAAAGAGCTAAAAATAATCTTTAGGATATGTTAAGAGATTAAAGTATTCTGGCTCAGGCCGGATTTCCGGCTCCTAGCAATTGTCCGTGGGTAAAAAAAATCCATCAAAAATAAATTGACAGTAAATAAATAAAAAAAGACAATCGAAATCCCTTTTGCATTTGTCAGCCAATGGTAGCAAAGGAGCGCTCTGAAACTGACAGTATTAGCCAATCATAAGAAGAAGGGGGCGGGTCTTAGGAAAGTGTATACCTCTTCCTCATGCTTTTTGCTCAAGTCGCCAGATAAATTGTGTTACAGTGCTGAAATTCTCCTCGGAAAGTGACCTTGCGCCGTTTACGGCTCCATTCAACGGAAAGACGTGTAAAAAACCACAAAATAAATATATTTAACTTTGTGTTTAGAGAGAAGGACGAGAGAGAGGGCACAATGCAGTACAAGAGATAAAGATCTCAAAAATAAATGGCGCTGGGCATGGCTGGAGGAGACTGGGTGACATGACAAGCCATTTAGCATCTGGTGCAGGAAGTTAGGGGAACCAGGCACTTGCCTCTACACGCTGTGCTCCAGCGTGTATGTATCCAGCGGCAAAAAGGTGCTACGCAAACATGAGTTAGATCCTGATCATCAAGCTGCTGTTCATGCCGGCCCGCACACCACATGTTTGGCGGGAGCTACAGCAACAGCTGATGACCAGCGTGAATAACTGACCGTGTATGCAAGTTAAAAATAAGGGTTTGTGCATTCCTCGCCGAACACAATGCTTAGCAGCAAAACTGGATATCAAAGGAAATGTGGTACATGCAAGTGTTAGAAATAGATGCACTTTTGCCATCTTTTGCCTGTTTTTGGTATTAGTTTTTCAAAGTCAAATTTAGTCTTCAATCATTCATGCAATCTCTGATCCTAGGCCCAAACACCCGCCTGGCATGGCTTGAAAATACACACACACAAACACCCATGCATATATATATCTATATATATCTATATATATATAGATATATATTCGCTATATATTTGCTGGTCAATTCTCTAACTATCTGACCTACAGTTTAAAACAAGGCAATCATTCCAAATATCCAATTAGTTTTCTAACCACAAAAAGAGAATCAAGTTAGCACCTAAATATCAATTCAATTGAAATGCTGTGCTTGGATCTCAACAGAGGTGTGCATTAAAGAAATGTTAACAAACCTCATTGCATGAGAGGACTGATGAAGTTAAACAGAAAACCTCTACTTTTGATTATTGCTGCTAAAAAGTTTTGCATCATGGAGTGTACTTGTTTTCCCCATGTCTCTATTGACCACTTTTGCTAGAGTTATTAATGTTCTGTTGGGCACCTTAGGGCATCCTGAGAAAGGTGAGTTTTAATTTTGACCCAGCAGTGGAGGAGAATGCTGTGATCAACAATATCAAAGGACATATTCAGGTCTAAAAGTGCTAAAATTCAGCTGTCCTTTCAAACGAAAAAAAAAAAGTAAATGACGTGATCTCTGTATAAGCCACTAAAAAAACCTTTGTTTAATCACAAATGGCACAAATTTAGCAATCCTAATAAAATAGAGGGTTAAAAGGTAGAGCTGGAAAAATAACCAGGCAGATGGTGGAGAAATTTTATTTTTAACCAGAAAAGCAGTTGTAGAGCACAGGCTTCTGGACATCTTTGACACCACTCTCTGGTTTAGGGGGCAGCTGCTTGTTCTGCCAAATGATGTTAATGAATCTTTTAAAAGATTCCTGCATCCTGATTATGATGTGGGTGATCACCGACATTTAATGAATTGTTACTTGGACTGAGGTGAAGCTTTGGTAAAAATGTTATTAAAATCCATTCATAACTTTTCAAGTTCTCCTGTACACAGACGAACAGGACCCCCTTGGCGGAGGTAATAAAAACAAATGCAATACGGAATGTCTGACACAATGCCTAACTCCTCCATCAAACTCCTCCATCACCATATACTGTAGAGCGAGGACCATATAGTGGACTTTATAGTGACCTCAATTAACTGACCGATCAAACAGATGGCCAGTAGACCATCCTGATCTCGCGAGCTTTCAAGGTTTCACTCGCAGATCAGTCTGGAGACTCTCCGTTAAAGAAAATTTAGAGCCGTTCACCAAACGAACGTCCAATCAGCGTTGGCTTTGAGGCGGGTTGAGGTGTGACGCAACGAGAAGCGCGACAGTTCAGTCTAAAGAACATGGTGGCTTCAGCCGATGAAACTAGCGTTAGAATGGCTATCGAGCAAGTTTTATCGGAATTACAGAGTATTTCTTCACTGAAAGAAGAGCAAAACACTGCTCTGGAGGCTTTTCTCAGAGGAAAAGATGTCTTTGCTCTTCTCCCGACTGGTTTCGGCAAGAGTAGCCTGGCTTGTGGTTGTGTTTTCGTTGTTGTTCTGTTAGTACGTGATATGCTTCATTGATCTGATTGGTTTATTTGGCCCGTCTATCACCAACATAGGCCAATCAGCTAACCAGTATTTTCGCCCCTTCCCAAAATTACTTCAACGGAAGGTTTCCAGATGGATATGCAGAGCAAATCCATCTGGTGGAGTCAGGTTAGATGGCCAGTACTCTATGGCCCCATTTACACAACCTTCTGAAAACTGACCCGTGCTGAGTTGAGACCGAGCTTGGATCAGTTAACCATGCAGAGCTTGGTTCCTTAGGACCGTTTACACACAATACTAGCACGGTTCGTTGTGTTTCATATTGCAAATAAAATGGTATGACTACTTTTTGCAAGGACCTGTAAAAGTTGTCAGAGGTTACCAGTATGTAGACCACCACAGACTAAAAGCAGACATCATAATTTTGACCAAATGAAAATGAGCACCTCACTTTTGCTCTGTAGATAAAAAAATTCCTTTCCTGCACCTCAGCAAGTAAAATTCTGCAATTTTATTGGGCCTGCTCAAGCATGGTTCTGTAGTAACTGAGAAGAGAAGAAAAGGGTATACTTAACAGTTAAAGCTCAGTTTAAAATCTTCCAAACCATTTGAATTAATATACTTTCGTCTTTGGTGTAGAATGTTACACGAATGTATTAGAAGCTGCTTTTGCCTTTGAGTTAAGAATAGTTTTTTCCCCAGCCAAACTGCTGTTTTTTTATATCCCCTGGTCTCCCCAGGTGTTGTACATCCAGAGCTCAGGTCAGTACCTGACTGTGAGCAAAGCAGGAACAGTGGTGCTGCGGGACAAAGGAGACATGTCCATTCAACAAAAGCACCGCTTGCAGAACAACACGGTCACACCCAGAGACCTCTGGGTAACAGACATGGTGCTCCTACCGAGCATGCACAAGGTTATTTGGTGTTGTTGTAAATGTTGCTTTTTAGCACTTTGTAGTTGATTAGTTGCATCCTTGCTCTGAAAGCCAGTTAATATTCTTTAAGATGATTCATTTAATAGTTAAGAGATAAATAGTCAGAATTATTGGGCCAGATATTGTAATTTACAAAGGGAGACAAATACTTCAGTCACTTGATTAATTATTGATCTGTTCTTTGTGTAACAGCGTCGCAGACAAGAGGCTATTGCATAATATTTAGAAAGTAAATGTTCATTTCTTTGTTGTAGGACCATCAATTATTGATCATTACTCCTAATTAGCAACTCTTTAATCTACAGATTTGTGAACGGCTTGGGGTATTTAATTATAAGCATGAATAAAATATTTTCATTGTTGGCATTGATTTTTTAGCCTGGGAAATTGGTAAATCATAATCATGTCACATTATAAAGTGCTCTGTGTGTCACTTTGTGTCTTATGGCCCTCCTGCTCTCAGATTGCTGTCTCATTCACGTGTAAAGAGGTATGTTTTTACGACATACAGGACTTCAGCTGCAAATATAAATTGAAGGTAAACTGTGTGGATGAAAAACTACTCTTAGATTTAAACTCTCTCTGCAAATGAGCTTTATTGCCTAAATTGAGCTGTTTAGATGTTTGCAATGCACATAAAAATGAAAGAAAAACAACGTAATAGGCTCAATGCAAGACATATTATGATCTAGAATTTAGTGTTAGATTTAATCAAAATCTAACACTAAATCCTACATTCCTGACCAATGCAGGTTAAAAAATACTCCATCATCTGTAGACAGTTCTCCTTCTTTGCAGATCAGATGTCTGGATTATTGACTGTTTTGTTTCATCGTATTTTTAGCCATATTGCTAAGTCAAAAGAATTTACTTTTGCTTTCCACCAAAAAGAAAAAGATTCGAACATAAAAGCACTTAATGTTCATAGAGGAATACAGCTAAAAGCCAAGCTCACAAGTTCATAGTTAAACGGAACGTTGCCACACTGCAAAAATAAGTTATGCACGGATGCTGCAACATTCCAGAGGATGCATTTGGAAAAATGTACTCAACTGACTGCAAAGACCTGAAAGAAGACTTGACAGCGGCAGTCTTTCAGGTTTCAGCTTTTGTAACAAAGATGAAGCATATTTCAAAGTCAACCAAGTTTTCCAAGAAGATTTAAAATAAAATATGTTCTTAAAACATGAAAAATTAGGAATATTAATTATCAGTTAACTTCTAATGAGTTGCCTAAGATTACTACACTGTGAAAAGAGAAACATTGAACAAACTTTAAAAAAGTAAGGAAACCAGCTTGAGTTGGCTCATCTAAAGGTCTATGTAAAAAAGTTAAATAAAGTCAGAATCTTTAATTCAACGAAATTATAAGGATTAGTCATACTGTATCTACTCCCATCTTTAAGTTGACAAAACCTGTGTTAAGTTGATAAAATATCTACATGTAAAAGTTGAGCAAACTCATAAACACAGTTTAACTGCGTGTTGAAAAGTTATTTCACTTTTGATTTACCCTGTTGGTTTAGGTTCACTCAACACAAGCCTGTTCATGGATTTTACTAAAAAAGCTGGTTGTCTTGATTTTTAAAGTTTCCTTTTTTTACAGTTAAGGAACGAGAAGCCGATGTCTTCAAATCACTTTGGTAGCAAGTTTTCCCAGCAAAGCTATTCTTTTTTTTAGGACTAAATATGGTTGACATGAGGCTGTTAAATAATTTTTAAACATCAGTAGTCATTTAAGTATTATTTTGGAGTTAATTTGCAGATTTTGCCAGCAAAGCAATTTGCAGAGAAAGTTAAACAATATTACATGCAACTCTTAAAATGGTACATTGTTATACAGTATATCACCATATAAGGGCATCCTGCTGCAGCCATGATATTCAATATTCATGCATTCTTTTACTGAAAAATCAAGGGATTGACATTTGCCCCGTGGTGTCTGGACTTCTGGATGGGTTCGTCTCATTCTGACCAAGCTGTGCTCACCATAGGAGATATTGGGGGAAAGGTAACACAAGGAAAGAGATAAAACCAAAGTGGCTATGGCAGAACACTGCCACAAATGTCCATTTTGTTTCACAACCTCCATGTGTTCATTGACCAATTAAGTAACAGATGTACATTTCTGTCCTCCCAGGTCAGTGCTTTGAATTTTACTTTCGCCCAGATCTGTCTGTTTGACAGCCTCTGTGTGAGGATGGATTCTGACAGTGGTGCACCGACAGTCCTGTGGGATGAGCTGGTCAAAGGCAAACACTGCTGCTGCTATGTGGAGATGCACCAAGCTCACTCTCCTGCATGGGTCAGAAAAGGTAGGGAATGTTCACATAAACAAAATCATTTGCTTCAATGCCAGAATTTGTTGCTTGAATTCATTATTTACTGTATTGTCTTGCCTAAAACAAAGCAAGCCATTGGGAAAAGGGAAAATATGTGTAAATATACTAAAAAACAAACAAATGCAGCTGGGATATTTCTTGATACACATTAACACACAACCTACCTCCTATCTGGTAAAATAACAGTGGTTATTTGGCTTGTCTATACACTGGAGAAATAATCTGGAAATAGTTAAAAATGCTTTAAATTAAGTGTTTTTACCCTTAATTTGAGTCAGTAAATGAGTTTGCGAATGGAATGAGTGTTTTTACTCTTCAAACAAGATAACTAGATAATATGCACTTGAAATAAGACAAATCAAGTTTTTTTATTTACAATGTAAATGTTCCATTTGCAAAGTGTCTTACTTTCCTATTCAATTGAAGAGAAAAAAAAATCATGTATCTTAAGAAAAAATTACCTATTTAACTTAATTTTTTTTGCAGTGTAAATCTAAGTTTGGATCTGAAATGATGTATCAACAGTGTTGATCAAGTATGTAAACCAGTTGATAATTTTTTTTTATAACTTCTCTTATGAGGCTCCATTTAGAGCCCTAGATCTTGGGCTCAACATCACTTATCAGTTAAACCCTTTATTTTCACAAAAATAATCTTAATTTGTATGCCTGTATTGAAATAGATATCTAATATAAACCACCCTTCAAACACTGTATATGCATGGATAAACCTTGTGTAGAAGCTTTTGAACATTTTATCCAAACAAAAAAAGGCTGACATATACAGCTTTTGATCTATAAAATCGTTATCATTTTTGTGCAAACATAAAAAGAGCTTCAACCATTTCTTTAGGGTGTTAGAGCAACCTGAGATTATTAAGTTATTTTTTTAAATGATCATTTGAAACTGAGATCTAAAAAAGTATTACTTAGTAATTTTTCCAAATATAATGATTCAAATTACAGACAGTGTTCAATTTGGGTTTCTCCTACATATATTTTGAAATGTTTAACCCTTTATGACCTACCATAGAACAAATTCGACAGGTTATATTTTTAAATTTTTTACTCTTCTTCAGGTTTTATTGTCGTTTCACTGTCACAGGTCAAGAGCAACAGAATGAACAGCATTTAATGCATCTCCTTGGGGAGCAGTGGGCTGCCATTGTGCGATGCCCGGGGAGCAGTGTGGGGGTTAATGGTCTTGCTCAGGGAGCCAGAGTGTCAGTCCATGGGAGTGGGGTTTGAACTCAGAACTCAGAGTCCAGCTTGATTCTGGATTCCAAGCGCAATGCCTTAAAAAATAGGCCAAACTCCCAACAGGCCGTAGAGCCATTTTTGGAGCATTTCAATATGTAAGACATCATTACAACCTTTACATTCCAGCTCTTAATCATTTGTGTGAAACATTCATATTTTAAATTGGTTGTAGAAATGGCCTTTATTGCACTAAAGATCATCCGTCATGCTGAGCAGACATGGTAATATTTGTTAATCTTTTACCAACCTGAACGCATTTCTTCTAGTACTACAATGCTTCCTTCCTCTCTTGTTATGAGCAGGTTATGATGGTCTACAACTTAGGATGTAAAAAGCATTTCCTACAGCATAACTGACACATCTCATCTCTTTCAGTTTTGATGCACTCCAATTTCCAGGGTTTCTGCTGCATCATTCTGATACTTTTGCTGCATTGCTACTGTCATATTTTACTTGTCTTCCTACTAAAGGTTCAACAAACCGTTCAGGAATTGCATATCCATTCTCTTTAAGTCCCTTTAAGTGGTTAGATAACGCAGAATTAATCATAAAGTAGGACAAGCTATCAGTTTGCTTTTAAGTTTCAAGGATCCAGCTTGTCAGGTCAATGTTTCCTCATCAGTACAGACAGCATAGCATAATGTTAGATTAAGTGAAGTCATAATTGACCTTTGACTGTTTTATTCAAGTCACGTTTGTGTTCCTTTTGTAACAGTGTCATATGCAAATGCTGTCTAAGGGATGTGTGTAAAAAAGAGGTGTGTAAGAGGACTCATGCAGTGGACTTTCTGAGATTTAAAATAAATAATAAAACCAGAGCAGTCTGTCTTATCTAAAGATCAAATTGTGTTTGCCAGCTTGTCAAATACATAGCCGGCTGATGCCTGAGCTTTATTAACTTGTCACTGATTACTAGACTAATAAAACAAAGGGCAAAAATGCAAGTAGTAAGACATGACATAGATTGGTTGTGCCTTATATGCTGCCTACTTTTAATCAGAAAAGTAAAAAAAAACAAAAAAAAAACATAACTAGTATTTTTAGCTAAAATGTAAGGCTTAGGGTGTCAGAGATGCTGATGACACATCTAACACCTTTCACCTTGACACCTGGAATGAGCTATGTAGTGGTTTCAGTCACTTACTGTATGCACTTTTAATCACTTCTATACAGGCAGGTTTTTCACTTTCAGTGTAAAGTTACAGGTGTGAGTTCTTGGCCCCGGTTCAGCTTGGGGTGTGCAGCAGAGAAGATGCTCAGTTTTATCTCAGCTGCATCACTGGAATAAACATTCTCTGAAGAGTAATTGGGCTTTTTGACAATGACTCAGCCAAGGCAGCGCTTTGAGACTGTCTTGGCTGAAATCTTGATAAAAAAGTGAAAAGAATAGCATGCATGTACTGTAGATAGAACACAACAAATTGGAAGACAAAGGGGTAACAAACTACAGGGGAAATCGTGGAGACAAAACAAAGTCTAGCATGAATGTAATCTTCAAGTCTGTGTGTGCATATGCAATGGTGTGTGCACAAAATGGATGCCTTTGTGAGAGTATATATGTGTGCTAGAATACCTCTGGGGTGCTGGGGCTATTCTTTTGAAGTTTCCTGCCCTTCAGTATGAGTGGGCTGTGTACCATTAGACATAGCTGGTTATCCAGACTTCCAAACCTCGGGGCTCCAGAGACACAAGAGCAAGGAAGGGAGAAGTGGAGCGGCTGATGGAACGCAGAGGGAAAATGAGTGGAAATTAGAAGCAAATTGGGATGGACACAATGCTGCAAGGACAAGGAAGGAGAGCTGCGGGAAATATCTGTGTGTTAAAGAGCAGCATTTTTTTATGGTTGCAATGTTCAAACCAAAAAGCTTTAAATGAACGCTTAAGATGAATGTTGAGGTTGAGAAGCAAACCCAAAAAGGATCTTTTTCATATAGATATCTGGTTCTTTTTCAGTTTTAATTCTAAAGTCATCAACCATAGTGTGAGATTAACTCCAACAGCAGCTAAAGAAGGCAGGCGCTATGAATCAGTTTCTGTAATAAAGTTTGATTTGTGCATGTCATTGAAAGAAAGAATAAGTCTCATAAATCGTTTCTGAAAATTCTTGATCTTTTGATATGTATGAGGGAGAAAAGTCCTGATGTATGAAATGTAATCAGACGTAATTATTTGGCCCAGCTATACGGCCGATCTTTGACCTGAGACTGTCACATGTCGTCTCTCACACACTGCTTATTTTCACCGTCTCTGAAAGCTAAGCAGCTTCTAATAGAGACACGCTGGCAACCAATTTAACTCTTCTCAATCAACATGTTAATTGAGATAGATGGTGATGCAAGATCCATTACAGTTTTTTTTTGTAATGGCAGTGAGCAAATGAGCGCCTGTGAATCGGTTCGTTTCTGCCCTACAGCAGGGCTGCGGTCATCGCACATAGAACACAGCTATTTCACAAAGTGGCTCGACTTCCTTTTTTTTTTTTCATTTTTCCATCTGGTGAGATGTGTCTAATGAACACATTAAAGAAAATTGAGCTGAGAGTTAATTTTCATTTGACTGGTTAAAGCTGAAACCTGTTTAGTCTTTCCTCTCTTTGCTTTCCTTCATTGAGTTTCTAAATTACATTGAATTTTAGCCCTGATAATATGCACAAATTCAAAGTATTTTTTGTTTTTACCTAACTAATTAAAATATGACAATAGTAATAATGCAGAAACACTCCTTAACCATCTTAGAGAGAAGACTTAACATTGTGTTTTTTAATGGTTGTTTAGTCCTTAAGTGGCCTTATGCCACAAAGCTCCACAAATTTTTTCACAATAATTAATTCCTAGATCTGTTTCTTTTTTTAATTAATCCAAATATTTTAGATTTTCAACTAAAAATTATTACATGTAGGTCTAACAAACCATTTATACAGTATCTTCCTAGAGCCAGCAGCCAGTTGCTGTTAAGCAAAAGATTGAGAGCCTTATCTTCAAATATTTCAACTAAGGAGCACTGGAAATGTTTTTGTGTGTCCAATAAGTTGGAATGTTGCCAACAATCTACAAAGAGCAAGCTGACAAAAACACACTACACAAGGAAGTAGGAAACACAGCTGTTTACAACTTTATCAAAGCCTCTTCATGCTGTTCAAGAGCATCAGTCGTTTCTATCCTGGAGTTTTTCCACAATCTGTTGATAGTGGTGGTATTTATGAGCTAAACACAGGATGTCTTTAGATGTTTGGATGTTTACATTTACAAAAGTGTAGCTCAGGACTAGCCCCAAACACCACCCCAGACCTACCCCCAGGAGGGACAACCCCCTTCAAACGACACCAGCCGAAGCCCCTCCAAAGCATCCTCGGTTAAACCGCACACCCACCCCCACAGATGCCAGAGCAGGTTGTCAGTTGTTTTAATGCATTTTTTTCTTTTTTTTTTAAAGAAATGGTAATCCAGTCATCAAGTCACTTAGGTAGAAGTTCAGCTTATTCCACAGACTGTAGAAGATAATTTTTATTCGTAAAATTTCAATAAAAAATTACCAAACCTGATGATTTAAATCAAACAATTGGTAGTATTCTGTTTCCAAACCTAAAGAGAAAAAAACTCCGAAGCTCCAACCATTATTCATAAAAAGGCTGGAGGTCCCTATTTCTGACAAAGTGGGTTACAAGGCCTAATTCAATTTATTAATGGGATATTTTACATTTACACACAAGGTATTTCAAAGAAGCAGAATGTGACTCTTTCATTATCACTCTAGTTCTTATGGTCTGTATAATTTATCTTCTGTTATATGCCTTTACTTTTTCAGATTTTCATGCTTTCTCATATTTGTTTCTACAAAAGCTTTTTGTTAGACCATCCATATCTGATTTTTTGTCTCTGACTGTTACCTTCTGCAGTGCGCTTCCTGGCTTCACTTGAAGCCTTTCTGTCCTGCAGCACCAGACCAGATAGCAGCATGGTGATTGGCTGGAGGGAAAAGGATGGCAGGGGCCTGCGAGTCTCTTCTTTTGCAACAAAGAGTGGTGTGTTGGACGTGAATTACAACAGTGGACTTGGTCTGATAGGTGAGAAGAATATAGTAATCCAAGACGTTCAAATGAACATTCAAGTTAAACCTTTTACTTAAAGAAAAAAGAAAGTCTCAGTTTATTTGATTAGGATTTGATTTTTTCGAGTGTTACCTTTTTATGTGAAATACAATAAAACTGAATAAAAGAGACTGAAACAACTGACCTTAAAAAGGAAAATTTGCAGCCACTAATTACTATAAAAAAATTAGCAAAAGGCAGCAATCCTTCATTCTGATAATAAATACCAATAGTGTAAAGGAAAACCCTTTTAACAAGAAGATACCTCTTGGAGAACCAGGTGCAATAGCAACAGCCATCTGCCAAGAGTGAATGGGGATATGAAAAGGTGGAGCATATGCATAAAAACAGCATAGAAATGGCTTTAGTGGGTTAATTTTGTTAAAAAATACAGCAAAGTTGATAAGTTCTAGGTCAGTGTTTAAGTTTAGAGCATAAAAGAAATCACAGCTAGACTTGTATAGTCTTAGCTAAGTGTAAGGAAGAGACCGTGTTAAAAACTAAAAGTAGTGCCATATGCATCTCCTAAGGAGCACATAAGATGGTTGACAGGAGAGGTGTATAATAAAGCTAGTAATGAAAAAGACTTAAAGATCGTTTTTAGGCCATCTGCTATCTTAGTGTTTCATGGGGGGATTTTACAAAGAGACATTAGCGTCATTTACACTACTCTCTGAAAACCAATGCGTGCCAAACTTGGATCAGTTAACCGTGCCAAGCTCGGTTCCTTACGAACATTTACACAACACGCTAGCATGGTTCCTCGCCTCCTTGTGGCGATCTACGGTACTACTGCTCTCTAGAGGTAAACAAGCAAATCAACATGGCAGCGCACATAACATTCAGTAAGTCATGTTTTGTTATCATTGTGATATTTTGTTGTTTGTGGAGAGTCAGGCGAAGAAAGCAGCCTTTGGTGAATTTACTTGACAGAGTCGGCTTTTGGGAGGTGGATACGACAAACAGTAGTCTAATCACGGTGTACAGACGCAGGAAACAACAATGGGCGTTTAGGCTCATCACACTGCTAAGCAGAAGAATCACTGGTAATCATGTGGCACAGTACAGAAGCTAGTATTTTTATGAATATAGTTTCATGACAACGGAGGCTGACTGTAAGGAGATGACGTGGTCTGGTCATGCTCTCTTATCTGAGAACCGTGCCAGAACCAAACCCTGCAAGCCATACTGATGAACTTTTACCAGTTTAGCGCGGTTCTGTTGTGTCTGGCGCGGTCCGGTTCAGTTGTGCATGCCATTTACACTCAACAGTTAACTTGGTTACCATGCTCAGGCCAATCTCAACACTGTTTTAAAAGGCTTTATGTAAGTTTTACAAAAAGAGTCTTTTTTGTTTGACCCTCAATGACCACTACACCTCAGTAGCACTGATACATCTATAAGTCTGTTTCCTACTTTCCTAAATTTACTTCCTGCACTCTTCAGCTGATGTGACGTCAAGCACGTCCATGTTTTATTGGTCCAACCTAGCAAACAATCAAGTACGAGAGCCAGCTATGAGAAGGAGCAGAAGAGTGCTGCAGTTCTGTGTTTTGGCCACAGGGGGCAGTATCATTAGAAAACTCCAAAATGCCTATTTTGTCATTAGAATAGTGATTGGAAACGCAGTTAAACTAGTGAACTGGATCACAAGAATCAGCAAAATAAAATAATAATAATTAAATAAAATAATTAGTTAAATGAAGGGCTCAGCTCATGCAACTAGCAGTTTAGGTTTTACAGTTTAAATTAATTTACAGAGCTATTATTGCGCTTTCCATTCCTCTAGATTTAAAATAGACAATAAGCATGGCTTTAGTTAAGTTTAGTGTCATAATAACATCACTTTGAAAGTCTTTTAAGATCATCGACAGTTTAGACAAGTACCAAACATTAGACAAACTTTTCAGGCTCTCATCTTACTTCCTGTCAGTGAGCTCCAGGGCAGCTATGGCTACAATGTGAATTGCCATGATAATGTGTGAGTCTGTATGTGGCTGTATGAGTGTGAATGTGTATGAATGTGTAAATATAAGTTTTGCAAGGTATTCCCTTTAAATCACAATTATTCCTGTACTGTAATGTTAACTTATTTCTCCCAGTGAATCTTTGGAGAAAAACATGAGACAAATTTGAGACAAAGTAGAAACTAAACTGAGGCTGAGATGAGAAACACAAAAGTGTTTAATGAACTATAGAAGAGCAAGTGTTGAGAAGTAATATTTTTCTGCTGGAATATTTCTGATGATCCAGACATGTTTACATGCACCTAGAATAGACCTTCTTTCTCTGGTTTTCTACCAATGCCTCCTTTGTGGCATCAATGGCATCTGATATTTATCTGTACTTAACAGACTGCAAAAATAATAATTCTTGTTAATATAGAATACATGTATTGGCTGCAGCTACAGCAGGTGTGGATCACAATGTCCTTCTGTGGAACCCCTATGTGACCTCTAAGCCAGTGTGTGCACTGATCGGACACTCAAGCCCTGTCACAACAGTTCAGTTCATGCAAACAAAAGGACAGCTGATCACCTACTCCAAAGACAAGGTAAGAGACATTTAAAGATTATCGTTCCTGCAGTCCCAATACTGATTTCATCCCTTCCATTATTTTGCTGAGAGGGTGCGCTTTTGGTATTTATGCTGGTGCCAATGAAGGAAACAGAAGTTTCTCTGAGCTGAGACATTTCCTTTAAATCCATGTTCTCTCTGATGCAGGGATGATGTTGCTATGCTTTTTCTCCTCTTGCTGTAGTAGCAGACTGCATGCTTGCCTACTCTTTGGTTTCTCTGAGGAGAATGAATATTTTAGAGGTGATTTATGCTCCATCTGCCCTTTGCTCAAACACCATCTGCCAGAGCAAGAAACTCTTAAGGCTTTACCTCAGTTTTTCTTTGGAGGAGTTCCTAAAACGGCAGCAGTCGCCTTGTTTTGCACCATAAAGAAATACAGCAGAAAGAGTTTATCTGAGTTACACTAAGCAGGGAATGCAGTTGAAGACATAACTTTTACTTAGAATGACTCTGCAAGTGTATGAATGATGTTTTGATGATAAAGATGTATCCTATGATTTTTAATTGGACCTTAAATTTTGATGGCATCTCCATCCTTTACGCTCATACCAATAAAGGCATGGACACAAACCCTCTTCTACATTACCTCCTATCCAGGTGCTGTGCTTTTGGGAGGTGTCCAGTCAAGTATGTGTTCGCCGTCTGGCTGGTGTCTTTCCTAAGACACAAAAGGACCCTCACACAATCCTGTCTCTACAAGAGGAGCTTAACCAACTTCTGCTCACATTCAACAGCCAATTACTCCTGCTGGAGACAATAGAGGACGGGAGGACCAGCAACAATCAACACCCTGTTACCTAAGTGCTTTTAAGGAAATGTTAAACTGTTTTCTCTTGTTTTTATTGAATGATTCTTCCTTTCATTTTCATTTAAACTGAAATTTCTAACCAGGAATCTCTGTGATTCCTAAGATAAATCTTCTCCGGTGGCCCATTATTCTTTGTGAGATACTTAACAATAACTTATACCAAAATGAGGCAGAATGAGATGCTAAACTAACTATCCATTTTTTTTCCCAAGACGATTTATTAAAAAGTCTATTTTTTTATGCTTATTATTCTGCTGCCTTATTGACACTTTTTCCAGTGTAAACCTTTACTCACCAAAGGCAGACTTTGCTAGCATATGATTATACGTTTTTAGTTGTTTTTATTCAAAGCAAACCTGTACATTTATTTTTGTCCTGATTTTATATTTCTGTCAGCAGCAAGTATTTTAATTTAAAGCAAAACAATATTCTAGAAATATTTCCAATATTTTTGTTTCCTCAGATGGAGAAAACTGTTTCAAAATAATCTGTGCCTAGTGTAGAATGTTAGTTTTTTACTAGTCTACATCATGCTGATTTTTTTTGTTGTTGTTTTTCTTAAGCCAAGCTGGCTGCATCATAAAATAAATGAATAATAATAGAATAAATAAAACAAGGTTTGGATAAAAGGGTTACAAAGCTTTATTTAAGGATGTTTGAGTCTAGAACAATATGTCAGGTTTGACCACTTCAGCTGGACATTACTTTGATGAGAAATGTAGCTCATCCCAAAGGACAAATAAACAGACAGGCTGCTTGAAAATAATACTCTGTAACTTAGTAACAAAAAATTACCGGAACAAACCCATTCCAACGTTGCATCTTAAGGTTAATAAAGTTTTCTCATTGGATGCCAAAGTTTTGTTTTTTCTTTATAGTTGTTTAGAGCAGTGAGTATAGCAGAACTTATCATTTCTTATCTGTTGCTGCACACTGCTGGTCAGGTGAGTTAAAGGATTTAACTTTCTTGCAATGAATAAAGTTTTGGTGATATGTTTGGAAAACAACAACAAGACAAGGAACATTAACACTGTGGAAACTGAGGAGGGGACATATTTTTCCTTGTTAAGATGTTTTTAGAATTGCATTTTGCAAGTTACAGACAGCGTGCCTACTTAGTAGCCATCTGCAGTCACTCTGGAGCTAGAAGCCTGACTAATGAACCTAAGCCTCATGAGGCTTCTCTAACACTATATAGAGCAGAATGGAAAGTAGGTAATAATCTGTCCGACATGCACATGAAAATTACTTATCATTTTAAAAGATGTTATATTCTGGACAGATGGAGGGATGAACTTTATTAATCTCCCTAAGGCAAAATTCAGATGTCAGGCAGAAACACATTGACAGATAAATACACTAAAATACAGGTTAAAAAGTGACTAATAATAGTGCTAAAGGTGCACATGTTCATGCTGAGCTGTTATTCAGTCTTATAGAAGAAGTAAGAAAAAATCTCTTAAGGTGTTTTGTTCTTCAGCAAAGGGCCAGCAGGCTGTTGCTGTGGGTGACCGTCTGAGTGGACAGGGTGTCATATAGAGGGTTCCTTTGTTACTAATGTAATTTAGTAGTGTTTTTAAAAATTGGTCACTTTGACCAAAACGTTGGTTTACTATAGCAACATTGATGCCAAGGTCAGGCCTTGAATCAAAAAGCCTTTGGTTAAAGGTGAAACCCCTGCATCTGACACCACTATCGCCATCAGAACGTAATACTACTTACAGTAATACTAATGTTACAGTTAAGGGTAACAGCAAGCTGTGCAAGTACACACCATTGCAGTTGTTCTCTAGGTCCATAACTATTACACACTACACTTGACTACAGCCAAACAATCAGAATAGTTAATCATTGTTTGATTAACCATTGAAATTGGTTGACCCGAAACCAATGACTTGATCAGTTTCTGACCAATATATTGGTTAAATTAACCAAAATTGGTTTAACCCTTTAAAGCCAAGTGTATCATTTTTGATACATGAATATTTGAGACATTATTAGTGTGATATTGTTGTTCTTGAAAACCACGACTTACACAATCAGTGAGGTGTAGTGAACAGAAAAGGTTTAAAAGATTATACAGACATTCCTAATGTATCAAAACCCATGCGAATAAATGATCTAATTTAACTTATAAAAATGTATGTTTTTGAATGACAACTATAATTTTGAAAAATTATTTTTTTGATAAAGGCTGTATGAGACTCTTCATCCTTCTTTCCTACTCTGCACCCATTGCGTCCACCCTCATCATCATAGCAGAGTACTTACAAATGGGTGTTACAAGCCAACTTATTGTCCCTCAGGGTCAAACATCCCCAACAGACCATCCCAATGAACACAACACTAATGCAGATAGATAAAACATGTACAGTAACTAACTGCTCTCATTAAATGATCATAGCCTCCTCGAGAAGAAGAGCCTACTCTGTTCTTTCTTGCACAGGTTGCTTCCCTATGTCAGCCAGTCTAGCTTGTGGTCAAATTGGACTCTCTTATACTTGTATTTTCTTACAAGTTTAACCTCCTATTGATGATGATTAAATGGTGAGATTCCCTCCAAGGTCAGAGATTATCTCTTAGGTCTTTAAAGTGTCACCCCTCTGAGTATGGCTTGATATGTATAGTCAGCAGGGTACCAAGAGTACTTAAAACACTGCTCCCCAGCCTGAAACATGGCAACCTCTCAGTGAAGTAGCTGTAGATCCAGGTTATATAAAATAGGATCCCCTCCTATCTTCTCCAGTTTTCACTTCAATATTTGAGGCTGAATGGATTGAAATCACTAGCAGCCATGTCATCCTGCCTAATTTAACTGAGAAGCAAAATCTAATGGTCCAGTATCTGCTCCACCTTGGGTCTGAGGAGTCAGAGTACTAGTCTCTCAAAGGTTTTCACTAAACGAGACAACAGAGCTACTGGTCTTTATCCTTGCTGGGCTTGTTATTTTGGACACCACTACAAAGCATGAGGTTTCTCCAACGTTTAGAGCCACATCAGGTTTAGAGTCTACAGATCAGTATATTTCATCAGTATAATTTTCTAGAACTGAATAAAAACAAAACTGAGATAAAACTTTTCGCCCAAAAGAGGAGGGATCAAAAGTAAGCTCACAGCTTCAGCTACTACAACTAGAATCCAGGGATTATGGCCAACAGCTTGTTGTCATTATGAATTCAGACTTGTACCTTCAGATGAACACAAAGGCAGTTACTAAGTCAGTCTTTTATCACCTGAAGAACTTTTCCAGGATTAAAGAAATAATGTCCAAACAAGTTCTAGAAAAACTCATCCATGCATTTATCTCTCGTAGAATTCATTATTGCAACAGTGTCCTCACATGTTTGCCTTAAAAGTCAGTCAGAAAGCTGCAGCTAATCCAGGATGCAGCTGCCTGTGTTCTCACTAGAATTAAGAAAGTAGATCACATCAGCGTTCTGAAGTCCTTCCATTGGCTCCCTGTAGCTCAGAGAATAGACTTTAAGATCCTTCTGTTAGTCTATAAATCACTGAATGGATCGCCACTTAAATACATAACAGATTTGTTGTCAGTGTATCAACCTTCCAGACCACTCAGGTCTTCTAGTTCAAGCCTACTCTGTACACCCAGAACTAGAATCAAACATGGAGAAGCAGCATTTAGTTCCTATGCTCCATTAACTGGAACAATCTCCCCGAAGACTGGAAAAGTGCTGAAAGCCTGAGTTATTTTAAGTCAGTTAAAAAAATACAATATTTTTTTTTAGATATGCCATGGACTATTGAAGTTAAACTTTTAACTGAGGTTTTTTATTAGTTGAAGGTATTGTCCAGCTGTGTATTTGTCTTAATCATGTTTCTATCTTCATTTTTTTATTCTGCTTTTATTCTTCTTCTCTTTTGTAACCTTATTCATGTAAAGTACTTTGAATTGTCCTTGTACTGAATTGTGCTATACAAATAAACCTGCCTTACTTTACACTTGAAGATGAACTGTAGCGACATTGCCAACTCTGAAGCACATTCCTCAAGATGCTTCAGGACAACAAACTGAAGGCTAGCAGACTTCCCAGTACACACCCTCCTCATTTCATCTCACTCACTGTATTCTAACCTGTGGGGCTGGCATTGACACTGGGTGGAGCAGAACAGGTTCCATTATATTTAAGCTTTTAAAGTATTGGTTACAAGTATATTAAACTATGAAGGATTTTTTTTTTTAAACATCAGATTGTTATATTATTAGTTTATATTTTTGCCTTTGATTTTTGTATAAATAACATAAAACCCGCATGATAATTTTATTATGGGTCATCAATGAATACAGATGAAAAATAAATCCAATAAACAGCAGCTTTTGCAGGTATTTTGGATTTTGTGGTTGAGGTTTGTGATGACCTTTAGTTTTTACAAATCAGAATCCCTTCAGGGGGATTTACAGTTACTTATCTCAATATTATTTCTTAATTTCCAGCAGTATAACTTTCAACATAGTTACCCTTATTTTTTGCAGCTTTATTATTGGTTTAAACTTTTCCTTGTCTATAATTTTATCAATAAAAAAAAATTATAAAATGTATTCAAGGGAATATGTAAATAAAACATCCATAGTTATGATTTTGCCGTCCTAAATTTTCACCCTTTTGTAGCATTTATTAGTACAATTAAAACTAGGGTCTGAAATCATTAATAACTTATATGGAAGTCTTTATTTTTAATACCCAGCCCCCCTCTGCAGGTAGTAAGCAGCGACTCTGATCTGCTGGCAGGCTGACAGAAGCGACGGTTCAGCTGTTGCCATGACAATGCAGAGATCTCCATCATGAGCTGGACAGTATGCAAAGCCAGCTGTTTTCTGCAGGCACCAATGGACAGGTCAAAGTAGCTGAACTCATCCACAAACATGCACACAATGTGAAACTAAAAATAAAGCACAAACAATATAACTTGAGAAGGGAGAATAAAGAATTTCTAGTCTTCGTAGAGAAAAAAACTGTCATTCACTTTTTGTTTTCTCATTATGATTCAGAAAGCTGCAAGGTCTGTCAGCAGGGCTATCACACCATTTCATGAGCTTTTTTCTCCATAGAATGGTGCATAGTTTGTATTTTTTCCAGTGCACATATGGGATCTAGGTACTCATGTTTTTTTTCTACAATCCAAACATATAACACTCTAAATTTCCCTTGAGTGTGGCTCCTTGTCCTGAGTGTCTCTCTTATGAACTGGAGATCAAACCCAGATATTGTGAGAATAAAGTAGTATTTTATGACAACTCTTACAAGAAGAACTTTCTTCCCTAAAATGAAGAATGTCGAGCAACATGTGAAGTTATACTTTGGCATCGATTTGACAAATATGGAAATCTTTTAGCACACCAGCATCAAATTCGGCAGTATGTCAAAGTGGACTCAGGTTGCTGTTTGATGGAGCTGGTCGGCCGTCATATGCTGGTCGGAGCTCAAAGCTTTCTTTCTGAAACGGGTTGTGGTATAATAACTTAATTCTCGTAATTTTTGAACTTTATTCTCACAATATTAAGACTTTATTCTCGCAATGTTACAACCTTATTCTCATAATATTACTTTATTCTAAAAAAAAATTAATAAATAAATAAATACAATCCTTAGCCTGGCCCTAATACTCTGTCGTAAGGAAGCAGATTTCTCATCTCGACCAAAATATTTTTTTTTATACAGAGAGGCTTAGAAATTTTTGATCAAATCCAGTAAAAATAACTTCCAAGAGCGCATCTCAAAACTTTAAAACAAACTTCTTATTGCAAGCATGGATGAAGAAATGCTGAGTTTGGCAATAGAGAACA